TTTTATCACCAGGGTAGTCTGTAAGGCCATTGCTGTTTTTATAACCATTAAAATGTGGGTTGGAGATTGCAGTTCAAAGTTCGGGATCTAGTTCTCCGATTTCTTTCAAATTTTAAGTCTTTTGGTCAGCTCTTAGGCTACCAACAGAAATAATAAGGATCAGGACAGTGTCTATCAAAGTAGTCTACTCTGGTAATACGATTAAAGCAAAAAAGCATTTGCTATGACCAAGCCTTTTTGTGAGGGGAAAATCATCAAATGACTTCTCTCGCCCAAGGAGAAGCGAGAGGGAGTGTCAGACTCTTACTGACTAAAAACCCCCGTTCCTTCTCCTGCTCTAGACCGAGGCCGCGGTACCTTATTGCGCTTACCCCGCAACCTTGGCATAACCAAGCCCTAGTTAGACAATCTGAAGCATAAGCACGAGAATGATAAATGTCAAGATATAAAAACCAGTATAAGCTGACCGTTCAATATACGGGAAATTGATACAAAGCGAGGCCATGATAAGTTGGATATTATAGCTTCATGTGCAGCTAGTTGGTAGATCAAATATTTTGACAGCAAGCAGCAACTAATATAAACTCGGATACTGTAATTCCGAATACACTACAAACAATGTTCTATATAAACAGTAAGCGATATATGTACAACCAGTAATGAACACGTAAACTAGATATCGAGAATTTAGACCAAACTGTAAAATTAGGCTAACTTCTAATATTAGAAGATTTAGTTTCACTACTGCAATCTGTTAACGATCTGATGTTTTGGGGTGGCCCAATCTAGTTCAGATGTGAAGAAGAGTTTTCATCATCATCAGCCTATAAGTGCCCACTGCTGAGCAAAGGCCTCTTCTCATACGGAGAAGGTTAGAGTATTAATCACCACGTTTGCTCAATGCGGGTTGGCAATTTCAAATTTATAAATAGAAATTATAAGTCCAGGTTTCCTCACGATGTTTACCTTCACCGTATGTCAGTGGTGTCTAAATGATCATAGAAAGTACATATAACTCGGCAAAAGTCACATTGGTACTTGTCAGGTTTCAAACCCATACCCTCATGCGTGAGAAGCGGGCTCTTTAACCTCTGGGCCACCATGACACTTTTACATACTTCTACATAAAGATTTAGATAGGAAATTAATGCAACTACAATAAAAACTTTTTCGAAAATAATTCAGACATGAGTAATGCCAATTAATCACTATACATATATTATGTAGTATAAAACAAACTCACTTTCCTTGTCCTTCAGCCCCTATGCATGCTTAAAGCTACACTACGGTTGTTTTTTTATAGATAGAGAGATGGTATAGGAAATTTTCATTGTAAAGAAATTTACTATGAGCACTGCCACCTGTGCAAAAGTATTTTATTTCCCCAAAACTATCACCGTCACCTGATACAATGAATTAAGGAACACATTCAATTGTATTCCCATTACAAAGTCAGATCACATAACGATAACGATATTTTCTTGAGGGAAAAAGGACCTAATAAAAAGATAATTAAGGGCCATAATCTTGAATCAGAAGTCGCAACACGCAATACTGGGAAAAACTTCTTAATGTACCTACTAAAGTTGGTGTACAGTCGACTGACTTAACTTAGTTGCTTTCTTTTTATTATTATACATTATGAGGTAATTAGAAGTTCTCAGAAAGTATTCCTTTTTATTAGTCCTTAGTTTGAGTCCTAATTATGCCTTAGTTTTTTTTTTCTCTGAGCCCTCAATATAGGGAACTGTCCTTAGTATCTTTCGCTTTTTTTTGTTTTTTTTTTTTTGTCAGGGGAAAATCATCAAATGACTTCTCCTGCCCAGGGTCGGGCGGGAGGGAGTGTCAGACTCCTACTGACTACGCACAATACGCGACCTACCAGACATTATGCTTGGTTTTGGTTCTGGTAGTGCAGCAAGCTATCCTTGATTGCCATCCGGAGGCCCGCTTATGGTGTATTATGGTAGCTTTTGTATAAAACTGGGAGTCTATTCCCTCTGGCCTCACCCAGAGCGGGAGAACACATTTGATCTCACAAAAAAACTGACTCTGATTACCTATAAGCTTTGTTTAAACGTTCATAAGAGTCTGTAAGGGTCTAATTGAAAAAAGACTAGAATAGCTAATATAATTACTTTCCCCGATTTGAACATCAAACTCCTATAATCGATAAGCAAATACAATGTCCTATCATACCTATTTCATCCATTGGCTTTACCAGACGAAATTTATATTTTTTTTTGATTAAAATAAAAACAAATGATAACGTCATGTATTCCAGCGTGACATTTGCAAACATTTTATCGGAACCCCGTCAGGAGATAAAAGAAGAGTGATGTCTTTATCATAACTCATAATTATGCTTGCAGCGGTCACGAGCTAATGTTGTCAACCTCTGTTTGGGGTCAGAAGGTTTTACATTATGAGTCATTGTCGTTAAAATGGTAAGCAGATGTTGTAGAATTTGAACGGAGTTTTTTTTTTTGGTTACAATGTTTTTCTCTCTTTTTGTAGGTTTGTATAAAAGTTAATCTCATAATTCAATGGTTTATTTTTCCCGGATAATGATATGTATAAAGTATCATGACTTTCTTTACCTCTGACCGTCTTATTGTGGTAGACCCGTTGTTTGATATGAACGGGTCGGGTCAACCGGTGTGATACCACGCTCTCACAGAATACCGGCGTGAAACTACTACAGCATTGTGTTTCGCCGTGTGATTGAGGTAACCGGAGGCCCAAACTTTCACCCCTTCACGCCCCAATCTTTGAATCCCAAAACGTCTGCTCTTTCTCAAAACACATACAAAAAAAAACAAATATTCTATGGACCATAAGTTGTTGACTCAGAACAAATTAATAAATCTATGTATGTATAGTTAAATCTAATCGATTGAAACTTCTGTCAATTCGAACTTACCTAGTTATAAATAAAAAATACCACTTTCCCAGACAGTATTATCTTCATATTTTATAAGTCTAGGAACACTCACTACCAACCTCAATTTTTCTCACTCGATAATGAGATCAAAAATGTCATCAGACTCGATCGTTCGTTTTTATTTTAAAATCTCTATCGAATTTTTAATTACTGAAACCCCAATTATAATAATTTCTTATTCATTAGATTTCTTACATTTGCTTTGTAAAAATACATCGCCTATGTCACTTTTGGAATAGAAAGATCTCGGTGCCAATAATGATACAGTTTTCCTTCCTTACCAAATATAACCAATAAAAATGCCCCCCATTTTCTTACTGACCATACGCTTAAAGTATCGCATTATTACACGAGTACCCTTATATAGGGGGTACGCCATTAACCGAAGGGATAAATGACAGACATTAAAAAACTCGAAACGATGCTACGTAAGTACGTTCCTGTCGGCCATCTTTGTTTACTACAAGGGGTCATTACTACAGTAATATGGCTACATTTTGTAACAATAAAAGAGACAATATAGGATGTTATGTAAAAAAAAATTGCGTACCTACGCTAAATTTTTTATACACATTTAGGTTATTCTATTTTTTTGTGTGTTGGGATTGCTCAGATTTGTTCCTAAATGGTGGTGATTGATTGGCTATCATAGTATTATATGTTTATTTTCCCTGTCTATTAAGTTTTCGTGGGTAGGTGTGTTCCTTTTTCATTTTTTTTACCATAGTTTTATTCGGAATCTTTCTTTATTGTAGAAATAGTAAATACATAATAATAGGTCTTTACCTATGATATTGCCGTTCTGCAGTACTGGCCAGTTCAAATCAAAATAGTTTTTGTTAGGCTAAGGCTAATTAATTTTGTTTTAAAAACATGGGATTCTTTTTCCAAAAGTAGTCATTTGTTTACAGTTGTATTAGATTAGATTTTATTATTAGGTTAGATTAGTGTTACATTTTCATCGCATTTCAAATCAAAAAATTCGTTTACATTTTTTCATGCAAAACGGCAATTTCATAGGTAAAGACCTATTATATGCATTGGGAAGTAGTTGATCAGCAGTGGGCTTCTTGACGATTAATGATGATGATGATGATGATGATGATGATGATGATGGAATGTCTTAACCAATAATGACTTTAATAAATATCTATTAAGACGGAGTAGAACTAAATGCATTTTATCAAAATGTTGAAATAAATCTATTTGGAACCAATTTTTCAACAAAACCGGCCAAAAGAAACTGTTTTTCTGAAACTACCGAACATAAATACTTTGAATCAATTAGGAAAACTGAAATGATTTATGTTGACGTCTGAACATAAAATTATATTGAACCTGCTACACTAAGCACGCGATACCCTCATTACAGTGTAACTTTCTTTATTGTTAAAGTATAATCGCAAGAAATCGTATCAGAGTCGTAAAAAAAACAAAATATATAAAAAAAATTAAGATGTTTTTTCTGAAATTTTATGATCTGCATGTCGAGAAGTTATGACGAAATTTTTTATTTGTAATTTTTTTATTCTTGAAGGAAAATGAAGGTCAACGAATGAATAATGAATACCTACTCTAGTTTAGTGGTTTTTTATCCGATTGTGAACGAAAGAAAGTTTTGTTTTCCGTATAGATTAAATAATAAAATTCTGGTGGGTTTACACGCTTGCCGAGACTTGGCAAACGTCTACAAGCTTCAACCGTGTGATCAGGGTGTTTGGCGTGGCTTGCATGAGCTTGCAAGAGCTTGTCGGCGATTCAGTCCAGTGTCAGTTTTTTGGGAACAGACCAAAGGAAATTTGTGAAAAACGTTTGCGATGTATTTAATTTTACACGTTGGCGACGTGTAAAGGCTTGGAGCTTGTGGACGTTTTCCAGGTTTCGGCTAGCGTATAAACGTACCATTACACTCCTAATTGATAAACAGAAAGTTAATCTCTTAATAGAAAATAATTTGAAAAAAAACACCAATATTTAATTTGACTTGACTAAAAATTTATTTTAAATTGTAGATTTTTTTTCAAAAAATTAAATTTTGTTTTTCTTTTTATTTCAGCCCCAGAACAGGATGGATAATAGTACCCTAGAGGTATGGGTCAGTACAACTTTTATTGTTTTTTTTTTTTAATATTGATATTTTCCTTTCTCTGCACTATATCTTATTCTAAACAGCACTTAAAAGTACTTGGTAAAAATAAGTTATTTTTGTCATAAAAATGCGCCGTTTTATAAAATATATTTTATCTGCTTTCTTATTTTCAAATTAAAACCTATTTCGACTCTTTCGGCTTGGATCATTGACATTATTTTATATAATTTATAGAATCAGGCGTTACTTTGCGGAAATCCATGACATTAAATGTTTAATTATTTTATATATTATGCAGATAACAATAAAATTCTCAACTTTATCAGTATTTTCCATTTGTGACTTATATTTTAAATTACCAGAAACTGACATTACAAATAATTTTATTTATTTATTTAAAAGTTTACAATATAATCTTTAAAGGTGTACACCCAATGCGATTTATGTTGCTATACATGTCAAATATTTGAGAATAATTAACATAATCAAACTTAAAATTAATAACTACTTAATAAATTAATAATGGCAAAGAGCAATCACAAACTTTTCGGCATATTTAATTACAGAATTAATAAATTCATCTCAGATATAAAAGGCATTCTCCATTGTCGATCTGGTGTGGATTCTTCAGGCCCGGGAAACTGTGCCTGAAGGATCAACCCATATTTTGGTTGACAGGCACCAGTGTTGACACACGTCACTTTATGTTTTCTAATTTCTACTTCTTGTTTCTTTTTGTCCCTTTTTGAGCTTTTTTAATATTTAAAACTTGTAATTTTGCAGTATGCACATATTGTTACGTTACTATCTAGATCAAAACCTTTAGTTTTTAAGCTAATAATATTTGATTGTAATGTGTTTTGTGCATGAAATAAATAAATAAAATAAAATAAAACTACACTTAACTCAATCAAGATCATCACAGGAAGCTCATTATCAGATCAATATACAAAACAGAAGATAACTTTTATTGGCAATAAAATAGCAGTTATTTAATAACGACACATTTTACGCGATAACTGAATGATAACGATTGGAATAACGTTGTTACGTTAAAATATTAGCAGTGTTGAGATAACGTTTATTTCGAGTGTTGTTCTATAAGATGGAGTTATCTAATCTTTGTTTTGTAAGAATATACTTACTGGACAAATTTTATAATCATATTTGTTTAGGAGACGAAGAAATGTATTGGTTTTATTTTGTTTTAAAAATTTATTTTGCATGGAGAACATGATATATTTTTAAAATTTCACAAACAGATTATGGGCTTGCAGGCGGTTCATTCTATTCATATTTCACTAGCGTCAAGTGTGGGAGAGCTATGCTTCGGCACGAATGGGACGGCAAACCGGCGTGAAACAACCACAGCGTTGTGTTTCGCCGTGTGAGTGAGGTTACCGGAATCCCTCTTCAATCCCTAAATCTCCAAATCCCTAATCCCTAAACGGTTGGCAACGCACTCGTAACTCCTCTGTTGCGGGTCTCCATGGGTGGCGCTGATTGCTTACCATCAGGTAATGCGTCTGCTCGTATGCCGACCTATTACATAAAAAAAGCGTAGCCTAGATAAGTACAAACATAGAATTACTAAATGAAAAATAATTCATGCGAGCCGTAGGTACATATAAAATAGTTTAAATTAAGTAAACATCTTATAAATGGGAGTGAAACAAAAATCACAGCGTTACGTAGGTATCGTTTCCTCAATAGCAACCCATATCAATTGCTTTCTATACTGTTTTGACTATTATTTTTAATTTTTTTTATTATGTACATTATTTACAATTATAAACTAACTATCGATATTTCTATACTTGAAAGATGGCTAAATTAAATTCTTTTTGAATGGTCAAAAACGTCAGTTATTATTTATGTAAATTTGGTATTCCGACGTTGCTGTTTTTATGCGTCAAATAACACACCAATAATTTTGAATATTATTTTTTAATCTTAAATAAAAGATGTATTCAACCCAAAAAATATGGTTCGATAAGAACCAGTAGTTTCGGAGATTAGCGCGTTCAAACAAACACAGTCTTCAGCTTTATCTTTTTATAGTTGTGTTTTATTTACATAAATATGTCTCGTTTTAAAATACCTGGGTATAAAACGCAGAGCGTAATTGCTGCTATAAACTAAATTTTTGAAACCACCAACTGAGCTGAAAAAGATATATTTTATGATGAAAAATGGCATCACTGCCCTCAATTATGACCCAGAAATTATGAAAATCGTCGAAATAACGAAACTCGTGAACATAAATTCTGGCAATTCGACTCGAATTTTGACGCGTATTTACATAAACTGTTACAATTTATCGCTCGTTTCGACGCGAGCGTTGTCTAACGTAGGTACGCAATTACGCTTCTTTTAAAGACATCTGTGTATAGGGAAGAGGTATCACAAGTTTTAATTTTATGATGACTGTTTAATTTCAATATGAACAAAAAAGACACAGTAAAGAAAAAGTCAAAGTCCCATATTCCGATTAAGCTGTGGACAGGTACTTCTGAAAAGTCAATATAGAATAATATTCTGACAGTCTGTTCGTCAATGAAGCTAGGTGTTCTTTCTTTTATTGTTATAAGTCGGCAAACGAGCAGACGGATTACCTGAAGGTAAGCAATCGACGCCGCCCATGAATACCAGCAACACCAAAGGAATTACGAGGGCGTTCCTGGCATTTTGGGGTTAAGTTAGTTTTTGAAATCTGATCCAACAGACAAACTGTGTATACAGTTTTGTTGGACATTTTATACTTTTTATAATGTAAAATGTACCTGCTAAGCAATAATAAATAAATAAATAAATAATAAGGGTGGCAGATATAAGGATCGAGTAAGGGATAGAAAGGAAGTGAGGGAAAGGATTCGGGCTCCGGTAACATCACTCATATGGTGAAACAAAACGATGTGGTTGTTTCACGCCGGTATTCTTTGAGGCCGTGGTATCACTCCGGTTGAGCTGACCCATTCGTGCCGAAGCTTGGCTCTCCCACACTTATTGCTTCCACAGTGTAGGTTTGAATGAATTACGACCATGAAATTTCATGGATACTATTTACAACTTTATTGTACTACATATGTTTTATATGGCATACATAGGGTGAAACACAAGTTTAATCGTATACCATATCTTAATACGTTTTTTAGGTTTTACCTGTGAGGTAAATTTCATTTTACATATTTTAATATCATGTCGCGCGACATCCATTCCGCAAATGAATAAGAGCACCATTGTGACATGAAATTAGTAAGATTTTCTCTGTTAGTTCATCTAAGTCATTATTTTTAACAAATTGTCTATATATCGCGATCATTTTGCAAAAAAAAAACGTTTTAGTAATTACAATGAATTCTCATTAAGCCGCCAGTTGGTTTCTAATCAGTAATAAATGAGATAATTGTAGTTTTATTACTACTTTTGAATATTCTAGTAGGAGATAACTATAAATGTATGTACCTAGTACATATTCAGTCGTATATCTTTTTGTGGTAAACGTTTTGTGGCCCAGATGTCAAGTGATCCGCTTCTCATGCATCCTGGATTGAACCTGAATTTACCCTTTAGATAACATTGACATACGGTGAAGGAAAACATCGTGAGGAAACCTAAACTTTTAATTTCTAATTTTAAGTTTAAAATCAAACCTTTTTCGTGTGAGTAGAGGTCTATGCTCATCAGTGGCCTCTTATAGGCCGATAATAATGATGACAGACAAGCATACAGATTACCTTATGGTAAGCAATAAACGCGATGGAAACAACATTGCACTAGATGATTTTTGGTGGTTGGTAAATTTCGAAAAATTAAGTAACATATTTTTATTTTTAAAGGACGATGTTTTTTATTTAATTTTCGTACATCGATAAGATACCTATTATCCTACGACCAGGCGAGGTGATCATGTGTGTGCTGCTCATATATTTATGTACTGAAATGTGCGTTGGGATTATCTTTCCATGTTTTAATCTCAGCGCAAACTTCATTTGTGAGTTGTGTTTGGGGTTTGTGACGTCATCGTCAAATTTACAATGTTCCTCGCTTCATACTTTATTTTTAATTTTTAATACTGTTCAGTCATATTAGTGCAACGCAATGTCTTATCTATTTCTCTACAAAGAATATTTGCTCTGTTTTATTCATTCAACCAGTTGTTGCCATCGAGTACGTCCCATTTCTTGATGTTACTCCACCAATGTTACACAATATATTGGTTGCTTCAGTGCTGGGCAACTGGCCTCCATGCAACGTGTCGCGGGTTCGATTCCCGTACAGAACAACCCTTTGTGTGATCCACAAATTGTTGTTCCGAGTCTGGGTGTCATGTGTCTGTGAAATTGTATGTTTGTAACCCCACCCACGACACATGAGGAAATCCTAGTGTGGGGCAATATTTTTTAAAAAAGACAAAGACCATATCTTAGTTTTTAAATTATATTATATGGGTTATAATTTTTACCCTCACTTTTCTTCCTTCCCTCTCCCACACTTCAATTGCCCACCATCAAAAAATACGTCAGATCGTTGCATCTTACAAAAAACGCACTTTTCAGTTAAGTTACTTTATCAACCACAATATCTACAATAGTCTTCTAGTACTAAAAATAATAAAAAACTTAATAAAACAATACCCTAGATTTCTTACTATACCTAGTTCCTTCTTGGGTCGCCATATTGGTTTTAGAGGAGGCATTTGAATACTAGTATTATCTTAGATTGAACAGCTGGTGGTCCATTTTTTTTGTGCACGTAAAAATATTCATACTATTTTATCTTATCGATAGTAAGAACCACAAAGTTAAATACTTTGCTGTTATATTTTGATTTTTGAGTTTATATGAATTTGTAAGTTTGTATGTTTGTAAGTTTGTATGTAGGGGATAATCTTTGGAACCGCTGGTCGGATTTCCAAAATTCTTTCACTGATAGATAGCTACAATGTTCCTGCCGAGCCGACCCATTCGTGCCGAAGCATGGCTCTCTCAGGTAATCCGTTTGCT